ACGCCAATCCACGCAAAGGGTTGCGCCGGAACCCTGCGGGAACCCCGAAAGTTGCAACTTTACCTCGCGTTCGCACGCTCGACCACGCCAATCCACGCAAAAGGTTGCGCGTCACGCCTAAAAGTTGCAACTTTATCTCGCGCTCGCGCGCTCGACCACGCCAATCCACGCAAAGGGTTGCATTCCCGATCGATGGCATCGGTGCTGGCTCCGGCTTCAGAGAGAAAGATAGGTATACCGAGATGCACTTGACTCGATGCACTTCACTCGATGTACTTCACTCTGATGTACTTCACTCTGATGTACTTCACTCTGTGTACTATACTCTGTGTACTATGCTATGTACTTGACTCTGATGCACTTCACTCTGTGTACTTGATCCTATGTACTTCTCTAAGGGGCTTCGCACGGAAGAACCCTTCGCGATGCTTTCGGGAAAAGTTGCCCATCCGTTGTCCATCAGGCCTGGCAGTGGACGAGAGCGCCGGATGCGCTGCGACGCGAGGACTTGGATACCTTCACCGCAAGCTTCTAGTGTGCAGATAGAAGGCAAGAAAGCAGATTCAAAGTCACATCCTCGTGCATGGCCAGGGCACGCCACCCAGTTTGCCGTGGCGGAGGGTGGCAAATTCGATCGAGCCCTCACCGGATGCAGCGGGACATGCTCTGAGAGGGTGAGTACTCAACACTCTTCTTCTGTCATCATGCTTATCTCTGCTAATTACATACGGCGTTGTGTTTCTACTGTTGTACGCACATCGATATTGAGTGAAGGAGGATGTGCGGAGTTGCGACGGTGAATATAAGGCACCATTGAGCGGAGATGTGCGAAGCCGCACGAGTTGCTAAACAGAGAAGTCTACGGAAAAGAAAGCACTGCTGACTGGCACACGACCTTCGCATCATGGTCATGCCACAACACCGAGCTGCTGCACGTGACAGCAAAACAAAACTGAAGCATCGATGAGGTATGCGAGTTGTGCAAACTTGCAGACCGAGGCTTTGTCAACCCACGACTGGGCTACCGTAAGATGCCTGGCAACAGACTCAGACCACTCTTGCCGGTCCCCAGGAGGCTACACGTCACTGGCTGAGGCTGGCACGTGCCATCGGCGCCAGAATGCACCTTGAGCCATCTCAGCCAACAGCACAGGGCAAGCTGCGCTAGTTTGACATCCAATCCTGCAGTTTTGCTGCTCAGAGCTGCTCGGTCCTGCCCTTGAGCGAGCTGCTGCATGTTGAGCATCGAAAGCAGCTGTGGCATCTACGAGTGCTAGACTCTCTCTGCTATCTCTTTCTTTCTCCTCTCTGCTATCTCTCGCTCTCTCTCTCCTCGCCGTTCTTGCTGGTCCAAGCGGCCGGAGCGACCACTGCTCGGTGCAGAGGCTTTGGAGATGCTTGCGAGGCATCTAGGCGAAAGAGCATCAGTTGTGACCAGTATGTGCGGCATGCCAACCAAGCTAGAACCCCAATCTGGTTCTCAAAGAATTACCTAGCGACCTAGTTGTAGCTGGGTGTCATTTGCACGTCGGCATGGACATCATCCGCTCCTGTCAAGGACGAGAGGGATACATTGAGCTGGAATAGACTGCAAATGTCTCACGATCATCTCCTTGAACTTGCAGCCAAGTCTCGATGGGGCGCAATGTACCAGGGGCCACACCGGGTGCGACCTGAGCGAAGGATTGCTAGTGAGTCACTAGCACATGGTTCCCCAAATCTGGGTTCTCACTTGCCCTGCAGTGCTTCGCCACTGCCGGGCTCCTCACTCGATATCCGGGAGAGCTCGAGATCATCGGCGCCACAGCCAACAGAGGTCAAAAATGCATCAGGACTCGCAAGCAGCTCGTGCTCTTTGACTGCTTGCAAGCTCTTGCAAAGGAAGTTCCGACGTGTCTGATAGTATGTGGTGGATTCTCCTCATGAGGACGGAACATGAAACAGCTGCAGACATCAAGAGTTCAAGTCTCTGTTGGCATTCGCAGGCCGGTCTGCCTTTGGTTTCGATACTTCTGGGATGGGCGGCTTCTCTTAGAGCTTGTGCATACCTGGACCTTCAAAGAGTTCTTGGGCGAGGCTCTCTTGAGCCTACGACGGGACACTGTGAGGTCCCCGGAATTGTGTAAACGCAAAGCAGAGGTTTTTCCGAGGCTCCACCGTCACTGCACGCCAAACCTCGGTTAAGGTCGACTAGAAAGGCTAAAGGCTTGTCGCCCCATGATTGGATTGGCACCCAGCCTGGGAAGAAACGCGATTACGGACAATGGTGCTTAAACCTTATTGCCGAGGGCACTGCGTGCGCAAGGCATCGCCGACGAGGCTGCGTGTCTTGGGATCCTCCACGTCGAGGACCTGCAAACAGTCCACTTATTGTCAAGAAGAGTTGTAAGAAAAGCTCCATGCTCCCAATCACGCTGGCAAACACTCAAACGATGCAGTTTTTTTTTGTCACGTTTGCTGGTGCGTTGCAAACATGCCGAAAGCTCACAGATCGAACACCGTACTTCTACATAAAAACTGCAAAACTTCAGACAAGCCTGCAGCACCTCGTTGGCAGCCCTTCGTAGCTGCTTCCTATAAAGGAAAAGGGATTCGGGCAACTGCTACATCACTCCGGCAGAAACTTTGGCCAGATGACTGGAGTGGCATGGTCAAGGTCAGGTAAATTGCAAAAGTGTGCCCAATGGGATCCGATGTGAGATCCTTCTCGTACAGCTATGAGTTGATGTAGCGGTTACTTGTCCTTCTCCGGCCGATGACCGTCCCGGGAGCATGAGAAGCTACTGATTGCAATCTTTGCAGTGCAGCAAGTTTTGCAGGGAACAGAAACATCGTGAGATCATCTGAATCTGCATCAGCGGCTTCCGGTCTTCAACCAAAAGCACAAGCTGTGCCTCGCAGCATTGGCAGACCTTACGCAAGCAGACCCACGAGAACTCCTCTTGACACTACGAATTTGGGTCACTTGTTGTCTGTGACGTAACCCGTTGGTGAGCTGTGCCCCGAAAATGTTGCATCTAACTTCTGAGCACATCGCAAACTTGCGGGTGTTGCAGAAAATGCTCGGTTGGGATTCCAGGCAACTCTTCACCCAAAAGTTATTCCCGGCACTGTGCAAGGCAGACTTAGTCTGTCTACAAGACCTCCTGTTTTCTCGATTACTGGACTCCAAGCGGGTCGTGAGAGCATTTGTGAAGAAGCTTCTGCTCGGAACTTGTGTGCAGCGAGCTTCGAACCTCTAATTCCATAGTCGTAAGACTTAGGCCCTACGAAACACAAGCTGTCTTCATATTTTGTGCAAGCCGCTCCATCAACGCAGCGGACTGCCGAAGGAGCCGAACTGCTGCCCTCGCATCCCATGCCTCAGGCAGACATGGCCTGAAAGAGCGAAAGAGAGAGAAAGAGAGAGAGAGAGAGAGAGAGAGAGAGAGAAATAAAAAAGGAGGGAGAGAGAGAGATAGACTCAGAGAGAGGGAGAGAGAGCTAGAGCGACAAGAACATCGAGAGTTGAAAGCTCATTGCATGCAGCCTCGGGCTCTGCTGCTGCACGACTGGGGTGGCGACCTCCTTACATGCAGCTGCCTCGTGCGCGAGGTGCTCTGCCTGCGCCCAGCATCTTGAATCATGATCGCCCAGTTGCTGAGAGGATGCTGCTTGGGAAGGCAGGGCATCAGCTGTTACATAAGAGTTTGCAAGCTTGGCCTGTGCCTTGGCAGGCGATTGGCTCCAGTTCTCAGACTTCATCTCTGCAAAAATCGCATGAATGGATTTCATCTTGTTCAAGGACTGGTGGCACAGGACAGATACCGCATTTTCTGGTGGGTACAGCATCGGTGCGACATGTGGCAGTCGGCGCTTACCGCAAACTGCGATGGCATTCATCGGTCCAGCCAGGATGAGCGTGTAGCACTTAACCAGCCTAGGCCTGGACAACGATGGCACCTGCCTCCACACTTTGCTCGGGCGGGGCTTTCGTCCTCGATCAATGGCTCAGTTATCAGGATAATGACGGCAGATCGAAAACAATGTATGACAGCGCGATATGATACGGTGTAATGATTGTAATGTTAGCAGATCATGATAGAGCACTGCAACATCTGGGTCACCTGGGTCTTCATCTTGGCGGATCGCTTCAGGCTAGTTTTCCGTTGAAATGTGGATAAAACTGCACTATGGAATCTTGCGGAGGTACAAAAAGTATCAGATGTGCACACAGTCTCCGCATACATCTTTCACTACATGTCTCGTAACTGTCAGCATGTTCGCCAATGATTTACAGTTTGCAAACATGCAATTTCAAACGGCAGAAACTGGATGCCCACAGCCTCAGCTTGGGCTTTGCTCCCACTTTTGCACGTCGGCGTGCCCGTCTCTCCGCCTGGTCGGGATTCTGCTTCAGGCAGGAGCTGGGGCCAAAGCTTCCTGCTGGGAGACAGCTCAGATTTGATTTTGCAGGGCCTACAATTCACGAGCCAATCATTGTACAGTGAGCAGAAGATTCTGCGCACATTCCCTCAGATCTGTCGAAAGCCACATCGCAACTGCCAAGCCTCTGCCCTCTTCCAGCATGCCTCTCGTGACAAACACAAGGGATGCACGAGTCCAAGAGAGCATCTGAAATCGGGTTGATTCCAGAACCGTTCCACAACTCAGAAGAGTAATGGAGACACGCACGACATTGAATCGCTTCGGATTCTCCTGGGCCCAGCAGAGAGTACGCTTTACCTTGGCCAGAATAGCCGCAACTGTTCTTCTCAGCTGGTGCCTTTGCCGCCTGGAGAGCGGCTTGGAGGGGCGTTTCGCCGGGGCGGGCAGCCTGACGGCAACCGACACAGGCTTGTTTTCGCACATTCTCAAGGTATCTCAACCAGAGATTTCTCTGCTGCTTGATGCAGGTTCTCTGGCTCTTGAGCTGGGTGCGGTGGCTGCACGGCGCGCTGCAGCTGCAGCAATCCTTGCAGGGAGAGGACGAAACGGAGTGCAGTACCGGTCGATCTGCGTCCGGTGAGGTTCGGGATTGGCCCGTCAAATAGTCCATCTTATCGGCCTATGAAGGATCTCCAAGCATGAGGCTGGAGTCCGACACCTTCTCACCGTAGACATGAAGCTTGAAGAGAAGACCTGGACCTAGACGATTGCTGACTCCATGAAAACTCATGTGTCCAGATCCCGCCGCGGCTGGCAGGCTTGTGGGCCTCAGTCCCCAGAGGAGGAAATATCCAGTGACACGGGTTTTTCGAAACTCCAAAGACCCCAAGCACACAGAGTATGAAGGAAGACAGATTCGCAAAGCAGTTTGAGGCCACAACAAATGCACCATTGCAGTTAAGCTGCCCGATGCTTCCGTGGCATAGTCCCAGCGCCGCGCCGGTGACAGCGGACAGTTGACACTTGAGGAGTTATGTCATCGCTGTGACTTGGTAGCATGCAGTAGCAGCAGGTATGCCTAATGTTTCAGTACACATGGCCTACACACGGATGTATCTGGGATGCCTATCGTTTCTTTATGGTGGGTTCAGTCGCCGGTTTCGTGGGTTCTCGTAGCTTACAATAGCACCTCGAAGCCGTGCTATCAAGGCACATTCTGCAAACGAGGAGTTGGCGATGGGCGGCCAGTGGACAGGTGGAGAGGCACGTAAACGTAGCTGGTTAGCTGTAACAGCTTAGTAATAACGAGTGGTGCATTAAGTACTGCCGACAAAGGCAACAAGGAAGAGGATTTACCAAGTCGGATGGATGATTGAGTGTTTGCATAACATGGAGACAAGCCCAAGACAAGATACACTGATCAAATTTTCTCGCCAGGCGCTGCCAGTCCCCAACTGGTGCGCCACAGATCCCGGTTGAGGCTTTGCAACCAGGGACAAGGGCATTTCGTGGTGCCAGTAGCCCGGCTTCAATCACGCTTGAAGAAAGCAGTGGGCTGGCAGATTGAAATCGGACATCCAAGACCTTCTGCAGTGTGTCTCCGGGCTGACTCTGCACTTCCAGATCAATGAGAGTGCTCCGACACATGAGCTGCATGACTGAGACGCATGCCGACTGACTCAGCCTGCCGAAGCTCTCGAAGGCGGCAGCTCTCAGGCTATGGTAAAAGCAGGCAATGCTTCGTTAACGTTCGGCGACGCCGCAGGTAGAGTTCTGATGCACGAAAAAACATTCAGTACACAGTGCCGACGTGCGGAGGATGAAATCTACGATTGCGACTTTTATCCACTCCTGACCTGATATTCCCTGCATGACATCTTTACATCAGACGGCTCCACCGACCTGCCGAAGATGAAAGGCATGCTTGTGATGCCGCTGTTCGTGCCTATGCAGGTCCCGCCTGTCGCTGGATTCCTGCTCCTAGCTACCTCGCTGTCTTACACGCGATTGCAGGTTTGCTTTGCAGCAACATGTCTGGTCTCCTTGTCTCTCTCAGTCCGAGCACAGGCAGCCTTGCAGTCTGGCAGAAGTGCAGACGCAGAAGCTCCCTCGTTGCGGTGACTATGACTATCGGTGACTCCGCCGAAGCACAGCCCTGCAGCTGATCACAGTCTCTGCCCCAGCCTCCCGCTTGTCAGGACGCAACCATGACCTTTCCAGCTCAGGCTAGGCTCATGGCTTGTCAGAACTATGAACTGCTTGGTAATCTAGCGGCCTGGATGAGATAGAGAGGCAACGCTTGAAAGTCTTTGAAGACGCAGAAGACCCTTGGCCTGGCAGCTCAACGAATGGAACATTGGTTGGCAGCCCGATTGGGTTTTGCGGCCTTTTCGGGAAGAGGAAACGCTAGGCGGCTAGGTGGGGTTCGGGTTTTCTGAGCCTCTGCGCATCGTCGGCCGTAGCATCGAACCTCTTGCCAGAAGAGTCACAGCGCGGAGGTTCCAGGAGACCCTCCTGCGGAAGCTATGCACGCGAGGGCCCAAAATCAAAACTCCACAAGGCCATGTTCGAAATCCACGGGGCCAACACATGTGCTGCTTCTGGTGTTGTCGGTACTACCGTGTATCTATTTGCGCGGCTTATTTTTTAGGGCAAGTTCCATCATCTTCAGAACCTGCTTTTCGACACTCCAGTCCCCGCACCTTGCCGCGAGTGAAGTGGCCAGGCCTGAAGAAGCCCGTGGACATGATGGGATGCCCGAAAATTATCCACCTACGTGCTTTCGAGAGATACATCTTGACACTCGTCCGGAACATCCATATGGCCTGAAAAGCAGAGCCTCCAAGGTCCAGGCAGCACCCCCGCCAACAGCAGTGCACGGCTGGACTGGGTGCGTCCCGCAAAGCGTAGTGCATAAGCCTGCGCTTCTGAAGGCCGAGAGGTGAGCCAGGAGCCGAAGCATATTACATTCTTACTCAGGGTGTGCTTGATTACTCTAGGAATGTCGCTCCGACTAGATTTGTACATACATTATGCATACAGACATGCAGACGGACATACAAGCACACAGACATAGAGATGTACAGGCATTCAGGCAAACAGACATCTTTGAATATGTACCTAAATAAATGGGTACATGGATGCACATACATACATCACATCTTTCACGTCTTTCGGGCGTTGAATCCAGATTGGTTACAGCCCATCGGGCACCTAATTAAGGTGAAACAAAGAGAGAAGTTACCAGCCGCTCCATCTGTTGCGGAGTTAGCTTAGGCCTTGAAAATCACCACGTTCTAGGGATCTTTGGTAGTGGAGCATGGCCGGAGAACACATGCTGGGAATGCAAGGCCCCCAAAGTCGAATGGCAAATCAGGTCACAGGAGGTCTCGGTGGACCAAGGAAGCCAGATTGGGAGGTCGCGAGAAACAGTGCCAGGCTTCAAAGCAAAGGACGAAAGCAACGCCCAAAAATTCCCCCAAGTGATTTTCAGGAATGGAGAATACAGACCAAGCTCACTGTCAAGCTCACTAAGGCCAATGTCGTTGGTACCACCTCGGCGGCCCTTCTGTGAACGGAGCTCGCTGACAGCTGCAGCTGTGGCGCAGTGGGACATTGCATGGCAATGTCGGCGATCTCGCGGGTGGATAGAGCCTGCACACCTTCAATGCTAGCGCCACTGGAAGTCAGCTCCGCGATGATGGTGTTCCGAAAATCATCGGTGGACATGGCCTGGAGCGCTGCTTTGGAAGACCTCCAGCCACGGCTGTGGAGCACGATGATGGAGGCCAGGATGTTAACCATGTCTTCATCCGTGGTAGTCAAGAAGTTGCTCTCTTCCTGGTTTGAGAAGGTTGCGGCAACGTTTCGCATCGAAGCTCTCAGCTCCTGCCCATAGCCAGTGTCCGTTCCACCACTAAGTGACAGGACTTGGGCGTCAGTGTACCAGTACCTCATGATATCCGGTGGTGAGAAATCCGTGAAGCAGGTTGGCACCTGAAAGTTGCCCGTGCCAGCACCGATGCCGGCTTGGCTCGGAAGCTCTAGCTGGCCATCGGCTCTCACAGCACAAGGCCACAGCAGCGCTGCCAGGAAGGCAGCCAGGGCCAGCGGCATCCATGGAAGGCCCATGGGCTATGGAATTATGGGTTCCCACTACTACTACTACTACTAC